AAAAAAGTCAAGATGGCTGGGGTGAGAGGGACAGCCAGGCAGAGGTCAAAACCAGAGTATGTGAGAGTGTTGGGTGTGGAAGGTAAGCAGATGGACGGGGGCTTGAGAAAGGATCCTTGGAGGCACAGCACAGCTCTGAGGGTGGGGAGGGGTGGGTTTGAGTCAGAAGGGGAAGCTCCCTGGGAGGCAGGTGAGAGGCTGGGCTCAGGGCTGGGCAGGGGTGTGGAGAAGAGCCGACTGATTGCGCTCTGGAAGTGGGACCAACATTTACTGAGGTGACATGGTATTTTCATCTGAGCAAGAAGAGCTCAGCCATCCCCACAGTAAGATTTGGACAGCAGGAAGGTCAGGTTGGACCCCCCCCCCCCACTGGTGACACCAGTGGACAGGTGGGCAGTGGGCCTGGCTGTGCAGTTTGAAGATGAGATCAGGATAATATGGCAGTCTTGGGTCATATGACCTGTCAGGTGGGTAGCATGTTTAGTACCCAGAGATTAATAAACAGAACTAGGCTGGTCTATGGTGGCGCACGCCTTTAATTGAAGCACTAGGGAGGCAGAGGCAGGTAGAACCCTGAGTTCAAGGCCAGCCTGGTCTACAGAGTGAGTTCTAGGACAGATGGGGCTGTCTCAAAAAAGCAAACCAATAATGCTTGCCCGGAGGTAGAGACTTGGTAACTTTAGGTAGATGCATTGATTTCTAGAATTTTCTTTAGTTTTCAAACATAATGCAAAGTGAATGGTTTCATATTCTCTCAGTTTTGAAGACTGTAGGGATGTGGTTCACATCAAAGTGTCCCTAGAGAAGGCCTCTGAGACTCAGAGGGTCCCTTGCCAGTCCTGGGGCTGCTGGGCCACCCTGGATCTAGGCAGAGACTGGAAGTAGCTGTATCCAGGGACAAAGGGACCTAGGGTGAGGAATGAGGCAGGGGTGGGGCAGCTGTCCTTTTGGAGCCCTCAGCACTGCCCTTCACTGTCCATTTTAACCTTAATCAGGAGAGAAAATTCCAGAAGGTTTGGCCAGGAGACATCACAAGGGGAGGGGCTTAGGAGATAACGTCACTGGTAACATGTCAGGGTTCCTGGTGAGATAGTTTGTGGATAAAGTGCTTTTACCCTGTGTAATCCTGAGGTCAGTCCTTAGTGCCACGGTAGAAAGAGAGAACCAACCAATAAAAGTTGCCCTCTGAGCTCCACATGGGCTCCAGGGCCACCCTGCACCAGCACACACACAATTTTCTTTGTTTTTCGAGACAGAGTTTCTCTGTGTAGCCCTGGTTGTCCTGGAACTCTGTAGACCAGGCTGGGCTCGAACTCATATGGACATCAGCCTGCCTCTGCTTCCCCAGTGCTGGAATTAAAGGTATGCACCACCACCACCCAGCTCACATTTTTTTTTTTAAAGGGGTGTGTGGATGACACTGCCTGGCAGAATATTTTTTAGATTTATTCTTTTTTGGGGGGAGAGTGGGAGTAGGGTTTCATTGCGTAGCTTTAGCTGTCCTGGAACTCGCTCTGGAAACCAGGCTGGCCTCGATCTCACAGAGATCCACCTGCCTCTCCTCCTGAGTGCTGGGATTGAAGTTGTACGTTACCATGCCATGAAGATATTTGCTTCCGCCTGTTGGCTGCTCTCAGAAAAGATTACAACACATTTAAGATGAAAGCTATGTATTTATTTTAGCTTGGTGTAAAAGCTGATAACATGGAACATTCAAGTATAGCGGGGTTGTTACATTGCTTTCAAGGTGGCTTAAACTAACTAGGCTGAGTCCATAGTAGGGAAACAGATTGAGTGCATAGTGTTTTAGTATTTTTAATTTTTTGACTTTTTTTTTTCAAGACAGGGTTTTTCTGCATGTCTCTGGCTGTCCTGGAACTCACTCTGTAGACTGGGCTGGCTTCTGCCTCCCGAGTGCTGGGATTAAAGGTGTTTTCCACCGTCACCCTGTGAATGTGTTTATTTTTGTTTATGTGTATGAGTTTCTGCTGAATGTGTGTACTGTGTATGCATGCAGTGCCTTCTGAAGCCTGAAGAGGGCGCCACAGTCCCTCTGACATTGGAATTGGAGGTTGTTGGCCACTGTATACACACACAATAGAAATCAAACCCGGGTTTGATTAACTACTGAGCCATCTCTCCAGCCTCTGTGAGTGCATAAATTTTTTTAAACTTGGTTGCAAGGTCCAGGAAAAGTTCACCTCCTGAAGGCAAGATGGGTTTTTAAAAAGGCTACTACAGATGGGTAGTGGTGGCCCACCTCACCCTGTGCCACTTTCTCAGCCTCAGTTTCCCCAGCTGTAAGCTAGGTGTCCTTTCCTCACCTAAGCTCTGCAGGAGTCAGAACAGAACAGCAAGGGTGGTTAGTGTTTCACTCTGTAGACCAGGCTGGCCTTGATCTCAGAGATCTACCTGCCTCTGCCTCCTGTGTGTTGGGACTAAAGATCCACCATGCCTGACTGCTACCTGTAGTGTGTGTGTGTGTGTGTGTTTTGGTTTCTTGAGACAGGGTTTCTCTATTGTTTTGGAGGCTGTCCTGGAACTCAAGACCAGGCTGGCCTCGAACTCAGAGATCCGCCTGCCTCTGCCTCCCGAGTGCTGGGATCAAAGGCGTGCGCCACCAGGCCCGGCTTTATTTTTATTTATGTGTATGACTATTTGCCTGAAGGTATGCGCGCACCATGTGCGTGTATTCCCTTCGGAGGCCAGGAGAGGGTGCTGGGGCCCTTGGAACTGAAGTTGCAGCTGTGAGCAACCGTGTGAGTGCCTGGAATCAAACCTGGGTCCTCTGGTGGTCCAGCCAACTGCTGAGCCATTTTCTCATATTCTGTGTAGTCCAGGGCATTTTGTGCATTTTTTTTTTACATTTATCTGTTGTGTATGCCATGGTGCATGTGTGGAGTTGAAACAATCACAAATCAAGACACCAGGCATGCATGTGGTACACAGACATGCACGCAAAACACACTAACACATAAAATAGTAAAAGAGCCTGGTATGTAATGGAGTTAGAGTTGTGAGTCACCATGAGGCGCTGGGAATTGAACCTGGAAGAGCAGCCAGTGCTCTCAACCTCTGAGCTGCTTCTCTTGCCCTCCCTCCCTTCCCCTCTCTTTTCTTCCTTTTTTTTAAACATTTATCTCTTATTTTAAAGTGTGTGCATGTTTATGTATACATGTGTGCAGATGCTCAAGGAAGACGGGTGTCTGATACCCAGGTGATTGTGGTTGCTGGGAACTGAACTCAGGTCCGATGTAAGAATAGTGAATGGGCTTCACCTTGGAGCCATCTCCAGCCTCTTTTTTTCCCTTTTTTCTTTTTTTTTTTTTTTTTGCAGACAGGGCCTCACATAGCCTAAGTTATCCTCAACTCCCTATGTAGTCAAGGATGATCTTGAACTCTTGACCCTCATGCCTCTTACCGCCAGCACTGGGCTTAGAGACAGGTGTGAGTGCCACCATGCTAGGCTCTAGTTCTCTTCTCTCCTGGGCTTTCCTAGCCTAAGACGCCCATGAATTCTGAGTGTTCATGAGGGTGTGGCAGGACCAGTTTTTTTTTTTTTGTGTGTGTGTGTGTTTTTTTTTTTTATGTATTATATACAATAGTCTGTCAGCATGTATTCCTGCAGGCCAAAAGAGGGCAGTGGATCTCATTACAGATGGTTGTGAGCCACCATGTGCTGGGAATTGAACTCAGAACCTCTGGAAGACTAGCTGGTGTTCTTAACCACTGATCCATCTCTCCAGCCCCAGGGCCAGTGTTTACTTGCTTTATAGGCTTCAGAGCTGGGTTCCCAGAAGCCCAGTCTGGGAGAGCGGGGATTTATTGCTGAAAAGCACACAGTGTGATGCACGTGTGTTTGTGACAGAGGCTCTTTCCAACAGGATCTAGCAGATGCTTCCATGATTCTGGAGAAGTCCAGTGACATGAAACTTCAGGGAGGTTTGTAGTGCTTGTTTTCTTCGTATTGTATTTTTTAAAAAATATGTATTTTATGTCTGAGTGGTTTGCTTGAATTTATGTCTGTGTACCAGAACGGGGCGCAAGATCCTCTGGAGCTGGAGTTACAATTAGTTGGGTGCTGGGAGCTGAACCTGGGTCCTCTCAAAGAGCAGGTACTCTTAACCATTGAGCCAACTCTGCAGCCCCATGTTTAGCATTTTTACAATTTCATTTTTAAACTTTAGAGAGGGTCTCGTGTATCCAGGGTGGCTCCTCTCTGTAGAGTGCAGTCTCTTGTGCCCTTCTGACACCCCCACCCATTTTCACCCACAATTCAGAGTGAAGCAAATGCTCTACCATTGTATATATGCACCCCAACCACAGGGTTTTGTTTCTTTGAGGAAGGAGCTCATGTAGCCCAGGCTGGCCTCTTGCTATATAGTTAAGGATGACCTTGAACTTCTGATCCTCCTCCCTCCACATTCTTAATGCTGGGTGTCCTTTTCTTTTTTTGAGACAGGGTTTCTCTGTGTAACAGCCCTGGCTGTCTTGGAGCTCGCTCTGTAGACCAGGCTGGCCTTGAACTCAGAGATCCACCTGCCTCTGCCTCCCGAGTGCTGGGATTAAAGGTGCCACCAACACCCGGCTGAGTGCTGGGTTTTCAAACTTGTGTCCCAACTCCAGTTTTATAGGTGTTGGGGACTGAGTCCAGGGTCTAATGTGTGCTAAGTAAGCACCAAGTAAGACAGAGCTACTCCCCCCCCCTTTTTTTTTTTTTTTTTGATGTAGGGGCTTTGTATGCATCACAAGCTGGCCTTGAACTTCTATGTAGCCCCAGCTGGCCTTGAACTCATGTTTCTCCTGCCTCAGCAGCCTCATATTCCTAGAGAATCAAGAAGGCCAGCCTGGGCCACAGGGTAGGACTGTTTCAGAAACAAAGCTTCCTTCCTGTCCTCTGTAGCCCACCCTTCTCTGTGCTCTAGAACTTCTTACCCAGGCTTTGCTCTCTAACTTGGTATTCTTAGTTAAGTGAAAGTCCGTGTGCCTGTCCTTGAGGGATGGCCAGCCTGAGGCCCAGTCGACCCACCTGCATCAGGGCAGCATTCAGTGCAGCTGGCTTCCGGAAGTGGCAGAGACAGGCTCGTCATCGCCTTCAGGTGCCCTCATGTTTGTGGGGGGGGGCGGGAATGCCATCACTGCAAGTTTGAATTCCTTCCTACCTTTCCAGAACTAAAAGTATTCATATTCCAGTGCTCTTTAAGAAAAGGAAAGCTACCTTCTTCAGGGGCCTGGGGCTAGAGGGAAAGTGCTAGCCTACCAAAGGCCAGGCTGGGCTCCTGTGTGAGCTTTGTAAGCCTTGCCACTTCTGCATATGTGGGGGGACCAGTTGAGAAGGAAAGCTCAGTGCTCCCCACCTCCTTCTGGCTTTGGGCCCCAAACCAGTATCAGAGCGCTGGTTTGGCCCACTGTGCCTGCAAAGGGCTCCCCTGCCTCCGCTAGGCTCTGGGAGGACTTTTTGTTCAGGGTTCCCTTCTTACCAGGGTGACTGTGAGCATGTCCTGTCATGTTAGCAGTGAGCACCCCAAATGCCCTGTATGTTAAGCTGCCATGGCAGAATCGGCATCAAGTTTTTTACTCACAGGTCAGCTCCAGAAGGAACCTTATGGACTTCGCCGAAGGCATCTGCAGAGAGGTATGTCTCAGACCTGGCCGAAGCCCCGAGGGGCCAGACGGAGGGAGACCTCCAAAGCCCAGGCCAGCCTAGCGAGTGGCTGTGAGGGTCAGAGTCCAAGCAGTCCTGCACATAGCAGTCTGGTGGTGTGGTGGTAACTAAAGGTGGGATGTCTCACTACATAGCCCAGGCTGGACTCCACTCAGGACAGGCCGGTCTCTTGCCCTTTGAGTGCTGGATGACAGGCAGTGCCACAAGACAGGGACAGATGCTGACAAAGAGCCCCCAGAGCACATGAAAGGGCACACAGGAAGTTCTGATCCCCACAGCACAAGTTGGGGACTCCCAGAGGCCCAGCCAAGCATCCTTTAAAGGGTTAAGCACTTTGTCCATGATGGTGCACCCCTTTGACTCCAGCACTCTGAAAGCAGAGGCAGGCGGATCTCTGTGAGTTTGAGGTCAATCTCGTCTACAGAGTGAGTTCCAGGACAGCCAGGGCTACACAGAGAAACCCACAAAAAAGTTTTCCACTGGGCAGGGTGGCGCACACACTCATAATCCCACCACCTGGGAGGCTGAGGCAGGAGACTGAGAAGTTGAAGGCTAGCTAGGACTACATGAGACACTTTTTTATTTAATACATTTCTTCATTTATTCATGTTTTTAGTTTTTTTAGGACAGGATTTCTCTTTGTATCCCTGAAGGCTAGCTGGGGCTACATGAGACCCTGTCTTTCATTTTATTTTTGTTTTTGTTTTTCCAGGACAGGGTTTCTCTGTGTTGCCCTGGATGTCCTGGAACTCTGTAGACCAGGTTGGCCTTGAACTCACGAGACCCACCTGCCTCTGCCTTGTCCCAAGTGCTGGGATTAAAGGTGTGCACCACCATGGTCCAGCTGAGTCCCTGTCTTTTAATGTTTTGAAATTACCTATTTCCGTATGCATGGGTATTTTGCTTCCATGTATGCAGTGCCCAGGTGGCCAGAAGAGGGACTGGCATTCCAGATGGTTGTGAGCTGCCATGTGGCATTAGAAACTGGACAGCTAAGCCATCTTTCTGGCCCGAGACCCCTGTCTTACACAAGCAAAATAAGCTGGGTGGTGGTGTCACAGCCTTTGATCTCAGCACTTGGGAGGCAGAGACAGGCAAATCTCTTGAGTTTTAGGACCGCCTGGTATACATACATAGCTCTAGGCCAGTCAAGGTTACCTAGTGAGATGATCTGGGGAGGTAGCTCAGTAGCATTCCTGAGGCTCTGGATTAGATCCCTACAAAGGTCCCTCGATGGGGAGGTGAAGGCAAGAGGTCAGAAGCTCAGGGTCAAGAGACCCTGTCTTAAAGAAAAAAAACCCGTTTAGCTGCAAAGTCAATCATACAAATGTCCATTTGCCATCCTAGTGATGGAGACGGCTTATTTCAACTGCATCACACACTAGCCTGCTGCTAGGACTATCTGCTGGCTCAGAAACTTTTCAATTCTGTGGTGATGGGAACTGAGTCTCAGGCCCCTGCACATAGCCAAGCCCTCAAAAACTTTTTTAAAATCAGTTTTCAGATCCTTATGATGGTGACTCAGAAGATTCCCCGGGTCATTCCACCTACCGCAACTACCGCCAGCGTGTCCACCGCCTCCTGGGTGACAGGAACCGCAATGCACCTTCCTACACACTGAGGTTCAAGATCACTGAGGAGGCCACTGTGGAAGACTCGCTGCAGCCAAAGGCTCCAGATCTCACCATGAAAGCTTCTGGCTGGGCCCCCATAGCCCTGGAAATCAATGACGTGGACATGCAGCCTGAGGGGGAACTAAAGGCACTAGGCCCCCAGGAGGTCAATGGGTGGCCTGCTAGGCTGTCTCCATCAACAGAGGACTGGAGGATGACAAGGGCTGCCAGCCCCCCCATTCCTGTGGAGACCCCAGAGATGAGCAGACACCTGCCGAGCAGAGCGAGAGCAACTCGGCCACCTCCCAGACTCGGGAGTGAGAGAGACAAGGGACCCAGGCTGTCACTTTCTAAGAGGAAGCTGGAGCTTTTACTTTCAGAGCCTGAGCGAACTAAGAGAAAGAAGAAGTACGCAGCCCAGCCCAGCCCGGGGCCCTGGTTAGCACAGGACAGGGCCGTGGAGCCAGCACAGAGCCAGGGACTCACTCCCAACTAACAGTGATTAGCAGTAAACAGGTCTCTACCATGTGGCTTAAAAATGGGTGTGCAGTGCCGGGCATTGGTGGCTCACGCCTTTAATCCCAGCACTCAGGAGGCAGAGGCAGGCGATCTCTGTGACTTCAAGGCCAGCCTGGACTACAGAGTGAGTGCCAGGATAGGCTCCAAAGCCACAGAGAAACCCTGTCTTGAAAAAACCAAAAAAAGGCTGTGCAGGGCTCAGGGGGCCAGGGGCTTGCCACCCAGCCTGACGACCATAGCTCCATCCCTAGGACCCACATGGAAGAAAACCATCTCCACAAATTGTTCTCTGACCACCACACAGGGACACATTGTGCCATTTGCTTGTGCACATGTGAACACACACACCCACCCACACACTAATGCAGAAAATATTTAAAAATAGGTTGCAATTCAATGGTTCCAGTGGCTGTCACTGGGCCTCCTAGACCCCAGGATCTTGTCACATAGCCCCAGCAACCTTCCTGCCCGAGTCTCCCGAGTGCTGGATCACAGGCTGAGGCAGCGGCAGGACAGAGTCCCTTGTTCTAGTGTGTTCAGAAGTCTGTCAGCTATGCTGATGAAGCCCTCCGTGTCACCCGGGAGCAGGGTTTCTTACAGTCAGCTCTGCTGGAGTGCTGGGCCCACTGTGGGGGGTGTGTTTCCCTGCTTCCACCATCACCAGACTTCTCACTGTTGTAACTGTCTTTGTGGTAGGTAATGAGAGCTGAACAGGAGTCTGACGCAGCCACCCGAGGTCCAGGCTCCACCACCTCTCCACTCTAGTGTCATCCCCATGGCGGCAGGACGAGGACCACAAGGTTCCCAAGTGCAAATAAAAAAGGTGCCATAAGGAGGTGCCCATTCTTGGAAGGGCAAGGTCCACCTTGGGGTGCTGTTGGGAGTATGGTCTTGCTCAGCAGTGCCCCCACTGGCTCCACCAGGGAGGACAATAGGGCTGGTGGTGACTGTCCAGCATGACTGACTCTTCTGACTGTAGGAGGGATGGATGGGTGGGGGTGCTCCCTGGGGGGGGGAGGTGCTCTCAGGACCAGTTATGGGGCTGGGGCGAGCCTGGTGTTCCCAGCAGTCCCCCCAGAGACCCAGGCAACACCCTAGGAGTGTTTGGAGGCTTCTGTGGGCTCTGCAGGACGACAGTCACCTGCACTTGTCCCCTGTGTTCCTCATAGACAACACAGGCTGCTTGTTTACAGCGCCTCCCTCTCTGTGCTAAAAAGTCATTACAGCTGATGCAAAGTCTGCCCACCAAGTGCCACACTCACAGTCACTGTGGGGACACACGCTAGGACCAGGCTAACCTTTACCCTTCCTGTGAGGCCGAGGCCACTATCCGCATGCTTGGGTGGTATGGAAATGAAGTGTGCGAGAACGGGATTGGTGGAGGGCTGTGTCTGTGAGACAGACAAGTCTTAGTGCTGTTCTTACACAGTTGCTGCCAGGCTCAACAGGTGAGGTGGGCTGGGTGTAGCGCAAGGATTCCCACACCAGACTGAGCAACCACAAGAGGCGGGAACCTGTCATGCTTAGTGTTTTATAAGAAAACAAGCCATTCCATCAGCCCTCTAAACACATACTGTCACCTTCCCAGTCCCTGTTCCCAACCACAGCACCCTCCATTTCTTCCTGCGCGAACCAACCACTTTCTTTTCACAAGTCCATCAAACTTGCCAAAGGTTTAAGGATGAATGAATGTTAAATATTGGATTTTACTATTCCAGAGAGAACCCAAGAAAAGTCCATCTTTACTCAGTGCACAGAACTGCAACTCCTCGCTCATAGAAGCTGCGAGGGTCTTCCTTTGTAGCAATTTCAAAGTCCACGGTGAAGATAAGGTCTGCCCGAGTAAAGTTCAGGTAGACAGGCAAGGTCACCTGTGGGACAGAGAAAGGGGCTTGCTGTGACTCACTCTGGAGATAAGAGGCGCCTGCAGGGGTCAGGGCTGTGGTGAAGTCATTGCCAGGTAGGTAGAGTCCCTGGCAGAGCCACGGAACAGGGAAGATGGTACTTACCACGTTAGCCTTCTTCTCCGCATTGGTTTGCTTCACCCAGCGCAGCTGTGTTAGCGGAAGGACCGTGGAGATGGCGTTGGAAAGCGACAACTTGTTGTTGGTGCATGTGGCCCCTTGAAGTTTCAGACCTGTGGGGAAACATGGAGACCAGGGCTGAAGTGGCACCCAGCCCCGCAGCCCCGCTTCCAGGGCACCCACAAGCTCAGCGAGGCTGCTCTCCTAGTCACTTGGAAAAAGGCTTCAGAGAAGGGACACACTGAAAGGCTATCTGAGCACTCAGACTGTAGCTCACCTGTGACCCCAAAGCTGCAGGCATCCAGGGTGGCACTCTGTGAGGCAGTAACATTGACTTCCAGGCAGAGTTCCTCCAGAGACCAGCTGTTGGCTTGTGCCACATACTGTCTGGTGGCAGTGATATAGGCCTCAGGCACAAACAGGCCACCCAGGCACACATGGATGTTCTGCAGAAACAACAGTCCCCAGGGAAAGAGAGCAGGTCAGATACAGACCTGGGCTGTCCCCAATGCCATCCTAGAGGGACAGCAGGTCAGGCTTGCCCACCTTTAGTTCCTTGGCACCACCGGACGCAGCTGCCTGTGAGATGCTCTGGAGCTGCTTGACCCTCTCACTGAAGTCCGACACCCACTGGATAACCGTCATGCCTGCAGGCACCGTGTAATGGGACCAGCTCCGAGGCAAGATCCCTGCATTGAAGAATGGAGAACCAGGCGTTGTCATCAGCTCTGCCAACTCCTCGGCAGCTGAAGTGGCTCAAACTGCCAGCAGCTGCATACTACAGCCCTACTTCCTGGCTGCACCTGGCACCCTGTCCACACCCAGAAAGCCCAGGCACGTCTGTCAGTGTAGTTTCTAGGGTCAGAGCAGTGTGGGGCGCATGCTTGGAGGCCCACACTGCAGTGCACACTGCATCTCTGGACTGGGCATGCTTCTTGTCCTGCTTGTTTTGTGTCCCCTTTGCTGTACCACCCCTAAAAGTCACAGAAGCTGCACAAAACTAGGAAAGTCCAGGGCAACCAGGGGCGTTTCTAACACCCTCCCCGACTTGGGAGCCACCCCAAGGAAGTCTGGATGTGAGGCTTGGGGCTGTGGGGTCTATCCACGGTGTGGACGGGCTGAATGGCAAAGCCTGCACGTCTCAGTACCTTTCACCAGCTCATTGATGAGTGTGCGCAGGTAGTTGGTCTGCTTCTTTTTCCCTTCACACACTTGGACGACATCAGCAAGGTCCTGGCGCACATCTTGGAGTAACTTGGCTCCCATCTTCACTTCTCTCTCAAAGAACCGAAACAAAGGATCCTAAAACCAAAGAGAAGAGCGCTGAAGACTGCAAAATCTGTCGACAGAAGCAAGTCAACCTTAAGAGGGCCCAAGATCTACTTCATGCCCCACAGTTTCAGAGCTGTGGTGTGGCCCCAGCTTTGCCACCAGCTCCCCATATAAAGAATGACCTCTGCCCCTAACTCTCAGATCATGGACGGCTCTAAAACAATTGATTTACAAGTGGTCATTCCTCTTGCTCAAGTTTGGGGGCTAGCACACCGACTCTTCAGACAACACTAAGGCTCTAGCCCAGCTACCTTGATGTTCTCCACAGTGCGCTTAAGTGGGCTCAGCGTCTGTGGGATGAGGTGCAGCCAGTTAGATGCTGTGGTGTGCAGCGTCCTCATCCAGGCTGGACGGCCATCGGATGTAGAGTCCGTCCTTGTCTTCTTCTCGGTCTCTGCATAGGCCAGGTCATCCTCATCTTCCAGCATCTGCATCTTGAGCATCTTGCTAATCATGTCCACACCTAGGCCAGTCATGGCAGGAGGAAGACGTCAGCATCAGGACCCTACAGCAGCCTCCTGGGCTGCACTCTGCCACACGTGATCTGAATCACAGGTCAGGGCCCGGGAAGAGGTAAACACACAAGAAAACTGGCTCAAGTCAATCGAGGGCTATCAAGACAGAAGCAGTGGCCTCCGCGTGACCCATGATGTGTGTCCATACAGCTGTGGGGATGTTTGAGGTGGAAGCTGGGATCCCTCTGAACTCTGCCCCCACCAACCATGCCCACGACCACACTAGTGTCTGGCCTGTCCCTCACCCATGGAGACTAAAGGCCAGACCACTGAACTTCCCTGCCTTCTGGACTGGGGAGGCTGAGAAGCCAGGCAACGGCCTACACACCGGAGAGGCTGTATCTACCCTGCTTAGCTCCCTGGTCTCAAATACTCATTTTCAAACTAAATACATGGAACAGCTGCTCACTACCTACTCTCCATGGACAACAGTCCCCACCTCCTCGCAAAGGGGGCTCCTCCCACAAGCACTTCTGACACGTAAGACACCTTGGAAATCAGCGAGCTTCCAGACAAGTGTTCTCTGCAGAAGGGTGAGGCAGCTGGGAACCGTCCACCCTGCCTCACCAGCCCTCGCCTCTTCACAGAATCACATTAGGCGAGCACCTCTCAAAACTGGCTACCCTAGAAGGTTCTACAGTGTTGCTACTGATCTGGGGAGTCTTGCTTTAGAATTGCTGACTGGATGGTATTTTGAATATATTTTCAGTTTTATTTTCTTGGCTCTTTTCTGGTGCAAGGTACTTCTCAGTAGTCCAGGGTTTGTCTTTGTCTTTGTGTTTTTCTTTGGTTTTTTTGAAACAGGGTTTTTCTGTGTAACAGCCCTAGCTGTCCTGGAACTAGTTCTGTAGACGACACTGGCCTCAAACTCAAGAGATTGTCTGCCTCTGCGCCACTACTGCCTGGCGAAAGTCTTAAAAAGACCGAGGCAGGAAGAGCAATGAGTTCCAGGCCAGCCTGAATTACAGTGAGACTGTCTTGAAAATAAATCCCAAGCGATAAAAGGAGACAAGGAGTCCATTGGCTGGAATCTGATGAACACATGTGTCTACCCTGGTCTGAGTACAGACACGCAAGCATGCACGCACGGCATACATCTGAGGACT